GGATGTTTTTTTTCACTTTTAGGTCGTGCATGATTTTGTTTGGTGGGCAATAGCTTGTGCAAGGATTTGTTTTTTCGCGTCAGAAATCAAATAATGATAGTAGAAAGCACTTGCTCGATTTTGTCCTATAATGGCTCCCCTTGCAGTGTAGGAATTTGGAAATTGCCCGACCCCCAATCCCCCCCGCCCTCTCCCTCTCAAAACAAATTCCATCCCTTTACTTTTGTGGTATTTTTGGTTACTTATTTCTTCTCAGAATCGCCAGAAGTCACTGCACCACAAATCAACATGCTAGCTGTTCAAGCTGACCTTGAAGAGATTGTTTTCAAAAGCAAAACGTTTTGTGACCATGCACGAAATCCCTTCACCAGTGAACAACTCAAGGCATCCAGCAGCGAGGACGTCATACAACATATATCTGAAGAGAAGGGTCCGTTTAGCGTGCGAGCAGTCAACAGTGGGGCGTGTAGTCAACGTAAACTTCCCCACGGTTACGGCAGCCTTAAAACTGTGACAGGCAAAGTTGTATACAGTGGGGACTGGCGAAAAGGTGAAAACGATTTGATCTGAATTGACTGAGTTACTGAGATCCATTTCAAAAGGTGCCTCCATTGAATGTTTTTCCCCTGCAATTCTGACCTAAGTTTTGTGGTATTGCTCCACTGCTTTCATTTAACCTGTAGAGTAGTTCAGGAACTCAACTGCAAAGTTCGCACAGTGTACATTATCATGACCTTGTAACTGCCCGAACCTTTTCCCAATAAGTGAATGTGTAAGAGTGGTTTGCAAAATGGGTGAAATGTACTGGCAATATTTTGTCGTTGGACGAGGCTCGTGGTTCAACGAGTCACAACGGCCACCTCTACAGTGGCCAGATATTTTCGTCCCAGTTAGGAGAATTGCTCTTATTTTAAGCTCCCAACAATGGCCACCTTTCCACAATGGTTAGTTAACTCTGTCCACAGGGTGGCCGTTGAAGAGAGTTTCGACAGTATTTTCTGAACACAGCATCTGTGGGCATCAAGTCATAAAGTACTTGGCCTGATATTTTATGTTTATAGGCAAGAGACACGGGAAGGGTGAAGGAGTCATTTTCTCGTTACCTCAGTGTTGTAATAAGCCAAGTACTGATGATCATGGATTCTACACCGGGGGATGGAAAAACAACATGAGGTTTGGGTCTCTGACTGTGTTGTGTTAGATGTTAGCGTATGATTCTTAGGTTGTGTTCCGTTACGGCCATTTGTTTTAACCGCAATCAGGTTTCATGGATTTGGTTGAGTGTTCCAATTCAATCCTTAACCGGTTTCATACCTGTTAGGCATTGTGGAGAAAAATAGTCTTCGGTAAATTTGATTGAATAATATCGTTCAACAGTTTAACATGCTGATGAAACCAACCGATTGAACAGAGTTTGACGTTGTTCAATGTTAATAACTTTATCAACCACACTAACCGAAGACGGTTTCATCCCCTTCTCGCCCGATTAATGGCGGTTAACCCCAATAGGACTCAATCTTAACTTTATGCGTTTTGTTTCCCTGTTGCTAGGCATGGCAGTGGCAAAATGACGTTTGTTTCCGGTGCTGTTTATGAAGGCCAGTGGCAGTACGATAAAATGAGCGGTTATGGGACCTTGAAGCTCCCGGATGGGGTCATTCAGGAAGGGACATGGAAGGAAGGGTCATTAGACGGTTGTGTCCTTTTCACTTGGCCCCATGGTGTCACCGAGTACCGCGAGTATGAGCCAGGCAGAGGTTGGTGCCTTTATACCTTCTAGTTTAGTACAGCAACAATAGTTTCACTGAAAGGCTTTGCGTGTTCCAGTGAGCCGAGGGACTCGCACTGGGTTATGTTTTAACCTCTTACTCATATTCCATGAGGTTGGTTGACATGATATTCATTTTGTAATATTTGATGTGGACCTGACCCGTCTGAGGTCAGCTATGACGTTTTCTCGCTCCATGGGCTGTCTCCAACAGGACAGTACTAGAAAGTCATTTATGGCGCCTTGTCTCTTTTCAATCGATTGCAGGTCAGCTCTCATCCTGTAAAATTGACGAGGACACTGCTGGACAGCTCTCACAGATGAGCTCCATTCGATCGCAGCTCTCAAACGTGCGAGAATGCTTGACCAGGCTGAAAGAAGGAAACCTCGGCCTTAAAGACGAGATGAACACCCTGAAAACACAGGAAGCCGAGATGACCAGGATATACCAAGGCAATCTTTGTAAAATTCGCCAAACTCTCATCGTCCAGCAAGAGCAGGATTACCAGAAATTGCGAGAGGAATTTGACAAGAAATTGAAAGATGCGGAGACATCCTTCTGGAACAGTGCCGAAACAGTACGTACATTAGAAAAAGAACTTGAACAATCCCGGGAAGCGCAGCTGTGTCAGATATGTTTCGAGCGATCACGTGACTGTATCATTATGCCCTGTACTCATTTTTTATACTGCAGGACATGTGTGACTGAGCATAAAAAGAAGGGTGATTCCCGCTGCCCCGCTTGCCGCGGACCTATCTCCGGTGAAATGTTATGTAATGTCAATCAATAATCAAGATAATTTACAAAAGACTTCGTAAAGTAAAAAGTTCTCTTTCGCCTTATTTGCATTAGTTTGGTTGTTACATTTTATGGTGGTTGTTGCAAATTAATTCCATTCCGTATCGCGTATTACATGTAAAAACACAATATAGTCCGTCGATCGTTTTGATGAAATTATGACTCTGTTTTTGCTCTTTTTTCCTCAAAAACAAAATTAGTTGTACTGAGGTTTCTCGTTTCATAGGCGATGTCTATTGATAATATATTTCAGCTATACTTTTGTGTTCATGGACAAGACACTTGATTTGTCTACCCAGAAGTATAAATGGGTACTCGCCTGCTTGCAGGCTGAGTAGGTAGCAGTAATTAATCTTTGAAAGGACACTAGTCAGCCTCCGCCATTTTCAATGCCACTGAAATTATTGATATTGCATAGTGAAGCGAAATCTTGTTTTATTGTAAGTTGTGTTCCTGAAAGTATTTTTAGTTACTTTATTAGTTTACGGTGATTTCCTTCGTTTCGACATGCCCCGAATAAAATATAATAGCCAAA